CTGCAAGGGTAATTCCACTTTTTAAAATGTGCCCTGAGGATACATGCTTATCCCACCTGCTGCCTTTCCTGCTCTGCTCTGCTTGTACACTTTTTTTGGCTGGGGGGGGGGCGGCTTTAGATAAAAGTGTGTGTATGCGTGTGCGTTTTGGCAGGAGTTTGTGTGCCATATCGCATTGTGTCATTCTCCAAAGGTCCAGAGTTCTGTCATTAGCTTTAACGGCAGCTATGAGCACAATCCAAACTGTATTTACTCGACACGTGTGTCAGATCGTATGTGTGCATCATGAACGTTCACATAAGTGTTCGTGTCTCTCTCTGTTTCATGACTTTCTGCTGGTTCTGACAGAAAGGTGTAAATTCCTGGAGGAGTGTGTGTGTGTGTGTGTGGGTGTGTGTGTGTGTGTGTGTGTGTGTGTGTGTGTCTTAATGTCTGGCCAACTTTGTGTTTTCACTGCTCAAACTTGAGCCATCTCCTGGTCAGCAACACTGTTTTCTCATAGGCCTTGTTTCAAAAGACAGCTTAGCAGGGCCTCTTTACAGGCCTGCGTGTCCGTCTGTCTGTGGGAGCCCAGGTAATGAGCTTTTTGACAGCTGTTGAAAGGCGTTGCTACTGCTCATCACCTTTAATGAAAGCATCCCCCTCCTTGTCAACACGCTCAGGAATTCCTCCCACCTTCCTCACAGTTTTTTTTTTTACTTCTCTATTTCTTTCTTTATTTCTTTCTCAGTTGTAGGCAGATACCATTGTGAGCGCTTGTGTAACTCACACAATAGAGACTCCACGGACCTCCCACTTTAAAGCTCGCAGGTGACTCAACTGTGTGCAACAGAGCTTGAACAGAGTAGCAGTATTATTTGACCTTTGGGAAACGAGAGAACATGTAAGAAGGTGTAGCAGCAGGGACACAGAGAAGTGGCTACAAAAGCAATGACGGAGATCCTCCGGAAAGACTGGTACTGAAAAGAGGAAGGAAACGAGCCTGTTGTGTGGGACCTTGCAGCAAAAGCCTACAAATGATGGCAGGAAGACGTGGGCAGAGAAACAGAGAGAAGGAGAGTGAAATGCACTGGCACCACTGACAGGGGTGTGGTACTTTCTTTTCCTCTTTTTCATGAATCCCACTTCTTCATGGAAACCTTTCGGTCACTCAGTCAGTGTCCCGTGGTGCAGTAGCCTCTGCCATGGTGTACAGGGCCAAAGGCACCCTCGAAGGCCCCACCTAGTGTGCCAGCAATTCTCCCAGCCCACTGTTCACCATCCTCTCTCAATCTGCTGTCCTTCTGCCACGTCTGTCTGCCCACTACCCACCCCTTTTTTCACAGTGAGCCCTACTGTGTGCCCCTGTCTCCCACACTGCCTCAAAGTCTCACACTCTTTTACTGCTCAGTGTATTTGACAAGAACACGCAAGCTTTGCCGGCTGTTTAATGAAGGTAGAGATGGAGACAAAGGCTCCACATGCCCGTGCTTGCAGTTTAACACAAACAGAAAAAAACGTGGACACAATGAGCCGCGCACACACACACATCCAGGAGGATATTTTGACAGAGAACACTGGAGTTCGCTGGCGCACTGTTACAAACAGTCCTGCATTTGCAAGTGAAATATAGGCTGCAGATAGAGTGCAGCGCAGCACCGCTGGCTGGAATTGCACACAAATGACATAAACCCAGAACTAAACACCTACAAATGTCTGTGTGCCAAATGCTCGTGTATTTACACTTTCCTAAGACAGAAACAGCCCTTGGATTCTCTCTCACATGCCAAGACTAGACTTCTGGAGCAGTGTCCCACTGAAGATTCAATCACACCAACAAGTCACGTAGACACAATCTGCAGGCCTATTGTGAAAGAATACTTGTTACACTGCCAGAATGTCATATGTTGCTCAGTTAAAAGCAGTGTGTTGCAACACAAATCAGGAGCCGCACAGTCATGCCTTTGCTCACATACATTAGAAACACTCCCCTTTCCAGTTGAGTGAATTGCAGGCAGCTTCAGTGTTATCAGAAAGTCCCTTGTTTTTCTATATCTCCTCCTATTCTCTCTTTTTCTCTTCTATTGTATCTGTTGATCCTAAAGGGACGTTGATTGGCCTGGTTGACTTGACCTAGAATTTAATGCAATTGACCTAGTTGAAGTCACCTTCAGCTAAACAGCTATTTCTGTCATGTGCAGTTACATTTCACATCTAATGAGGTTGTGGAGAATGATGTACTGCACATCCCACTCAGGCTGAAGCATTTTAGTGTAGTGTTGGTGGGGCAGTTGGTTGTGTGTGTGCGTGTGTGTGCGTGTGTGTGTATGTGTGTGTGTGTGTAGTTTGTAGCCAGTGAATAGTATCTGTGTGTGTATGTGACCAGAGGATTAGGTCTGGTCAGTGCAGCTGGGCCACTTGTGCACAGAGAGTATTGGAACAAGGGATTAGGGAGTAAACTGATACTTAGCAGGAAGCGAACAGTGGCTACTGATAACGTAAGTATCCCTTCTTCTTGCCTCTCTTATCCCCCCCTCCCCTTCAACAGCAGCCACCCACCTATCCCATTCCTCTCATCTCATCTGTCCGTCATCAGCTCGCAGGCCTCGGCCAGCGGATTGTCATGCAAATGGTGCCCCAGGCCTCGAAGCGCTGATAAGGAGGGCCTCTCATTTCACAGGGCTTTGTTTTCTAAACAGTGATGAGCTGAGTTGAAGAGACTGGGAAAAGGGGCTCAGGGTGGCTGCCTGAATGGGCCCTCTCACTGTGGCGCCCTGGGGTAAGTGGTGCAGGGGATTTGGATGAAGTAGGCTGAATGAAGCAAAGTCTGTGAGGCGGGTTCAGGAGTCATGTTCTCTGGCAGCAACCGGCTTCAATGTGTTGACAGAGCCTGATGTATTTTCTCTATCGCCGCTGTCCGAGTTTTCTCCAGGACGGACTTTCTCTCCTTTGACTCGCTTTCTTTATCCATTTAGACGGTGTCAGTCAGTGTTCGTTACTTGACGCCACATATGGTTTGTCCTTCTCTGAGGGGTTGTCAGCGCTCGGACTGGAGCCTCATTTGCTGCTGTTATTATTGCATAAACACACTGGTTCATGGCACGTTCAGAGGGTTTCTGCTCTCCCACTGACCCTGCCGCTTTGTTACATTCTGGCCAAGGAGATATGTGAACCACTGTAGAAACATTCAGCGGGCGTAAACTTCAGGTTTTAGATTGATTTTCACATTTGGCTTTGGGATTGCTCTAAAAACTAATGGAAAACATCTTTGCCTCCAGCAAAGTGAGGCTTTCAAAGGAGGAATTTGAATGTAGATTCGAAAGAGTCAAATATAAAATACATATGAAAAACAGATGTCTGTGCAGCAGGCCACAAATGAAAAATGTCTGACATATTTCTGTTACTATCATTAATGGGGTAGCAGCAGGCCGGTCACAGCAGCTGTAGCAGAAGTGGTAGTAATGGTCAACTTGGTCTTGAACAAGACTTGCCCTCAGGAGCAACTGTGTCCAACCCCCCCAAGCCCCCCTCCCGCTCCTTCCTCTGTTTTTTATCAAATTCCTCTTTTTACGCCCCCTTTTTCTTCTTTTTGAAGTCTCCCCTCTCTAGTAAAAAGCCAAGCTGGTGGTTTTTGCCTCAGCCTTGGGTGTGAGAGAGGGGAGGAGGGGGGATTGTAGGTTAAGTTTAGGCAAGCCCTCTGTGCTTTCCATTGAAGATGCTGGGGGGAGGTGGGGGCAGTAAAAGTTAGAATTTTAGAGCCTCCCTGTTTTTTATTTTATGATTGGCTTTTTTTTACGGGCTGGGAGCTACAGCTGGTGGTGTGAATAGCTGCCCAAGGTGACTGAGTCCCAATAAAGCGCAGGCCAGCCGGGCTGGGGCCTCCAGTCCAGCCATGGGACCGCCTTTATAGGCCGCCTTACGAGCCTAGGCCTCTGTTAAAACCTGGCAGGGCTGCACTGAGGAATTTAGGGCCAGGAAACAAGAGAAAAATAGGGTTTGTGTGTCAAGGGGTGGTGGGATGCAGAGTTGGGGGTTGAAGTTAGAGGGTGACCAAGGGTGAAAGTTTGTGAGTGTGTGTGAGGGGCCGGCGAGGGGGGCCACATGTGTGTCCATGAGTTTGTGCAGACTAGCATGTGTGACGAGGGTCTGGTCCTATATGTGTGCAGCAGCTTATGTTTCTCAAGGGAAGTATGGAATCCATACACCGCACACTTGAACATCCAAAGGAACCCATATGGGGTCCACTTTCTGAATATAATGAAGTGTAATGTACCATAGCAAGTATGTGACTCGAGAAGGCACTGACGTCACAGCTTTGTCCAAGTTTGAAAGGTTGAAGTAGAGCCGCACACCGGCTTTGCATGCCTGTGTGTTTGCTATGTGCCTACTCTGTGCGTGCAAGATGTCTGCATGAGCTGTTGTCAGTCTGTGGAATGAGGAAGAGCCAGCTTTGACTCTTGGCTTCAATAGCTCACTCTGTTACCTATCCTTATCAGGGAACCTGTCAGTCAGTGGCACTCTTGCTTACTGCTGTAAAAAAAAAAAAAAAAAAGTTTTGTCTTTGCTGTCAGGCAAAGATTCTTCACTTGTTTTACTGTACAATTAATTTTTCCAGTTGAGGCCCTGAGTCCTGCCCCTTAGGGTGGTAGTTGGTGCCAGGAAACAGAAACTTTTACCCGTAGTTTATATCCTCTTTGTTTTTCTAGCTCTTATCTTATCAGTGTTGTCCCACAGAGAAACGAGCTAAAAAATGTGATAATACATCTCAATCCAGCTTCGGGCAAAATGTTTACCAAGTGAACATGACCGTTACTCAGTATCTTTTTCTCACAAATTAAATGGAAAACTGAAAGGAGCTTCTGTCAGCTGTCACATCACGTCTGAAGCAGTCGGCTACCGAAAGCTTGGAGGAGTGGACATGTGGCATTTTTAGACTGAGAAGTAGCTGCAGGACATTGATGAGTGACAAATCATGTGCTCATGTGCCTTGTCTTTCTCTTTTTTTTTTCCCTTGTCCACAGCGGTGGAGACCCAAAGCACCAGCTCAGAGGAGATGGTACCCAGTTCTCCGTCTCCACCTCCTCCACCTCGTGTCTACAAACCCTGCTTTGTGTGCCAGGACAAGTCCTCAGGGTACCACTACGGGGTCAGCTCCTGCGAGGGCTGCAAGGTGAGAAGAACCTGCCAGAGCCGTTTGAGCTCGGCTTTGTCTGGATTTATTTCATACAGCCATAAAAACGCAGGGTAGCAAGAATGATTAGTTACTTACCTATAAAGTGAAGAAGGAAAGAGCCTCGTAGAGGATCTGTGGCACAGGCCAGTGGTAACGGTTACTGTGAAAGTTGAATTATTTTAAAGAAAGAAAACGAAAACCCCAAGTGAAACAGAAAATTTCATTTTCTATTTCGTGTTCGGTTCAGAAGAAGGGGATTGAACGAAGGGCGGATGGGGAAGAGAAACGGTTAAATGTCACATCCTTTATTTGATAACTATATTATACACTCTCTCTCTTGCCCTCTCCCCTTTTGTCTCTTGCTTCCTGATGCTCCAGGGTTTCTTCCGTCGCAGTATCCAGAAGAACATGGTGTACACCTGCCACCGAGACAAGAACTGTCAGATTAACAAGGTCACACGCAACCGCTGCCAGTACTGTAGGCTGCAGAAGTGCTTTGAGGTCGGCATGTCCAAGGAAGGTGAGCCCTCTAGGACTCAAGAACCAAGAAACCCACTTCTAAAACCGGAATATTCACTCACTTCCACACCCAAGATCACATGTGTACACAGACTCACGCATCAGGCTGCAGAGGCTCTGTAGGCTCTCTTATTCATCGTTTAATGTTAAGTCAGAGACTCTGGGAAACTATGTAGCAGAGAGACAGAAGCAGATGATGAGCCTGCCAGGGGTGGTGATCAGGGCGAGGCTGGGCACTGTACCAATCATATGACTAATCGCTTCACAAAACAAATCTGACTTCCTGTTTCACCACAAAACCTCACCCCTCTGGCCAGCACAGACACTGCATTCATTCATAAACACAGGAGAAAACAAGATTTTAAGTTTTGACAAAGACGTTGGCGACAGTATTCACACTTGTTTGCAGAACTCAAAATGACCCAGTTTTGCACTGTCTTTATTTCGACCTTGTGCGTCGGACAGGCCGTCTGTGTGTGTGGCAGTTTCTTGCCCTTCACAGAGCCCGTGGGACATGTATGTGGGTGTAATGTTTGTGTGGGATGTGTGTTAAGACCGGGATCACATTGTGCCTCTGCTATTACTGGATATCCTGAGAGGAAGGAAAGTATGGGAGGAGGAGGGAGAGGAGGCAGAGAGGGAGAGAGTGGACGGGCTCATGCGCACCGGTCAAGTGGATAGAGAGATCGACGAGGAAGAGAGCGGGTGATAAGAAGGAGATAGTCAGTGTCCGTGCCGTGCTAAAGGAAATATGTTAATGCTGTTAAGAGCAGCCTCTGTTGCTACTGAGTTCTGGTTTCCACTTGCATGCAAGATGTCCTTGGCAGTAGTGAAAGACACTAAACATGAGTCCCGTGCATGTTTTCAAATGTCATCACAGAAAGCGAAAATGAACATTTCGTAGATGATTTCCTGAAACTGCACGAAGAAAGGATTTCATACAAAGCAGTTGTGAATCTCCCTTTTAACTGGTTTTTTTCTTTTCTTTGTGTAGCGGTACGCAATGACAGAAACAAGAAGAAGAAGGACGTGAAGGAAGAGGTGGTGCTTCCCGAGAGCTATGAGCTAAGTGGAGAGCTCGAAGAATTGGTCAATAAAGTCAGCAAAGCTCACCAAGAAACCTTCCCTTCACTTTGCCAACTGGGCAAATACACCACCGTAAGTCGCACGCATAAACTCACATCCTACACTGCTGTTCGCTCGTGTTGTGTGCGGCAACATTCTCCAAGCCACCGCGTCACCGAGGACTCCCGAATCGCATGCAAAGATGTAAATTCACCGTAGCTTTCCCAACATAGCAGTGGCTTAACTAATTCAGCTCCCCATTAAGCCATCTGTGTGGCCTCTGAATGATTGATGCAACATGTAAATGGATTTTTTTTTTTTCCCCTTTGATTGATGTAAAATGTAAATGTGTTGCGAGGCTCATACACACTCGCCCTTCACGCAAACATGGTTGCCTCTGGTACATGCTGAACTGTGAGGTTTTTCTTTGTGTGTGTGTTCAGAACTCCAGCTCAGACCACCGTGTCCAGCTAGATCTGGGGCTCTGGGACAAGTTCAGTGAGCTCTCCACCAAATGCATTATCAAGATTGTGGAATTTGCCAAGCGGCTGCCAGGTTTCACCACCCTCACCATCGCTGACCAAATCACTCTACTGAAGTCAGCCTGCCTGGACATACTGGTGAGGAGCCATTGTTTTCATTGTATCCTGCTGTCCTCTTCTCTCACTTTTGTATATGAGTGAAGAACCAAAAAAGAAAAAAAGTTCATTGCTGAGATAAGGGTATACTGGCATCTGGTGGTCACAAGTGGTAATGCGTAAAAGGCTGCTGAGAAAATGCTGAGCGAGAATGATTAAACACAAACAGCACAACATCTTGAGCTGATAGCTGTTTACTGCAAATATTTTCAACTTAACATCTTATTTTGCTTCGTGTTAATAAAGTTTCCCACTTTCTTTGATTTGTAGATGCTGAGAATCTGCACACGCTACACTCCAGAACAGGACACTATGACCTTCTCCGATGGCCTGACTCTGAACCGGACTCAGATGCACAATGCGGGCTTTGGACCGCTTACAGACCTGGTGTTTGCCTTTGCTGGCCAGCTTCTACCCCTGGAGATGGATGACACAGAAACTGGCCTCCTCAGTGCCATCTGCCTCATCTGTGGAGGTACTGCAGCGTTCACATATACAACCATTCAATCAGTTGGAAAGAGGAAGTGGCTGCAGTGGATCTGGTTTTCAGTAACTGTGTCCCTGCTTTAACAGGATTAGTAATGCAGAGAATCTGAGTGTTTGTTTGTTTTTATATGTATGTGTTCATGTATTTTAACAGAAGATGTGAAACTGTAGTTTTAAAAAAAACATCTTCTCTGCATTATTTATCAGACCGCATGGATCTAGAAGAGCCCCAGAAAGTGGATAAGCTGCAAGAGCCTCTACTTGAGGCTCTGAAGATCTACGCCCGTCGCCGCCGCCCCAACAAACCTCACATGTTCCCACGCATGCTGATGAAGATCACCGACCTCAGGGGCATCAGTACGAAGGGTTAGTATGCAGAGAGTAATTTGCTAGAATGAAATCTTATTTTCTAACCACTCCCATAAACAATTTGCGAAGCACAAGAATTTCTACTGGCTTCAGCCTTTTGGTGTTTTATTTCTATTACAGCCGTGTTTTTGACAAGTGATTACTAACTATCTGCTAACACCTTTCTGTTTCCAGGCGCAGAGAGAGCTATCACTCTGAAGATGGAGATCCCAGGGCCAATGCCTCCTTTGATCAGGGAGATGCTCGAGAACCCAGAGGCCTTCGAAGACCAAACAGAGTCCAACGAGAGCCCGCCGCCTCCGCCGCCGCCGCCGCCGCCACCACCAGCTCTGGTCCTGAAGCAGGAGGCTGAAGATGAGGACGACAGCTGGGCCACAGAGAACGGCAGTGAGCCGTCGCCGGAGGAGGAGGACGAAGACGACGACGACGCGGGAGACGAGGAGCGAGACAGGGGCTCGGACAGTGACGGGGAGCCCTGGGGGGTTTTGGATAACATAGATGGGTCGAGGAAAGGCCTCATTGGGAGGGCACAGTGAACAGAGCATTTCATACACAGACACACTCATGCACATACAGATTCTTCATACACACACACACACACTTATATACGTACAGCAGACACACAGCACAACCTCATTCACTTTCCCACCTCAAGAAAATGCTGGCCTTCCCTCCCTCCCCCTTTTCTCTCTCCTTAACTGCACATCATTGTGTTCTCCTCAACAGAACACAGCAGAGCCTTAAGTGTACAGACACTTCTATCTCAGGCCACACGGTCAATGACGAGTGAACTGCAGAAACATTAAGTCAAGGAGAGATGACAGTAAACCATATGAACTCCTGGCGTAGCCACGAGGGAAGTTAGCGTGACAAAAAGAACATAACCTCTTTGAGAAAGCTAAATGTTACTTTTTTTTTTTCTCCTCCCCACTATTGTTGTTTATGTCTAAATAGGGGATCGGCCAACCACGCATCAGAAACTGAGCAGTTGATTTCCAATGGATTACAACAAGCACATTTCTCACAAAGAAAACAAGAGTACAGGGCAAAACCAAATTGAGTATGCTAATCTTTTGTTTTTGTGGTTATTGCTTTTGAATATTGTTTTCAGTTTTTTTTTCTTTTTTTCAGTTTATGAATAAGTCCATACATATCTATATACCATTATATTTTGTCTTTTATTTGTTATTCTGGTTTTATATATGAATCCTTTAGACAAGTTTTTTGTTTGTTTTTTTTTTTTCTTTGAAGAGCTTTCCTGAGAAGATATTCAGAAGGAAAGAAGGGTAATCAGAACTGGCTGGGTCTTCCTTAACAGCTACATATGCTTAACTCGGGCTTCTTTGAGCACTTTGGCTCACTGTGGATGTCAATGATAATCAACGCAGAGGACTATTGTTTTGTTGCAGTGACTTAATCAGTTTCTGTTATCAGGGAATTGGCATTATTCTATTTTGCTGTTGTTGCAGCCAACATATGCTGTCAATGCAGGAAGTAAGTATCTCGGTGCCAAAGTTAGGAAAAGTCATCTTTGGAGCGTGAGTTTTGACTACTGGCAGGGACTCCAGCTACAATCCAGCAATCCTCACAGCAGAGTGCTCACTCACACATGCACTAAAAAAAAAAAAAAAACACACCCTCTATCTCACCCACAGTGTATACACATAAAAAAAAACAAACACACACTCCTTTGACTCTACGCTCATCGGTAGCAGATGTGCCAACCAGGACAGAGATTTAGACTTGACCATATATGTAGCACTTTTGTGATCCTCTATCAACATAAGGCACATCTCCCCCGCTAAGAGTAGAGCTACTGTCTGTGAGCGCGCGTCTCCGTTAGCGCGACAAAAACCCATGACAGCATCAACACATCGAATACAATCAACCTTAGAGCACTCCCCCGATGATGTCAGTAGATGAATACACACATTCAACACATACAAAAAAAAAAAACATCCACACATAGTAGCATCGTATGCATCAACGATTAAAGGCATATGCAAGCCGTAAAAGCAGGAATCCTTATGGAAGACATTTTGGAATCAGACTCAGGGCTTTTCAGTAAGGACCAAACCCTAGCTGCTTTCAGGCACGCTAGAAACAGGCAATATTTGTGTGTATTCTTGACTATGTGTGGATTCTCAACCCCCTCTGTGCGTACGTAGAAGGTGACAAGTCTGAAAAACAGCCTGGATGCCAGTCTGACTCTCCAGAGGGACGGGGCAGACTTTCATCATCATCATTGTCGTCATCGTCGTCATCATCATCATCATCCTCACCGCCCTGCCTGAATTCACGCTGGCATCCATGCAGCAAACTGCCTTCTCATCCCAAAAGCCATTATATCATCTTGTCTTCTTGTGTATATTCTCGCTTCTTTTCGAAGAAGAGCGGAGGATTATGTGTTCTCATGTATCATTTCTTTATTGCCAAAATGTCACAGTAGGCGATCAGCTGGGAAAACACGGCTGATATACAGTACAGAGGTTTTTTCTGTCTCTCTTTAAAGCAATATGAACATTCTTTCTGTAGCAGCGAGTGGTCCCATCTTCTGAATATGGGCAAATCTCCTCATTTTTGTTAAGTGTGTGCGTGCGAGTGTGTGTGTGTGCGTGCATGTGTGTGCGAATGCTTTACCAGGTTTTCAGTCATTGGGTGGATGTCCTCGGCATGGTGCTGTCACACAAAAAAACTCTTGTGTGATGACCTCATCCTTTCTCTCTCTGCTGGGCTGTCACGATGTAGTGACGGCGACGCAGGCAGAACATTGAGATTATGTTTTCTTATGTTTTTGTTCTTTCAACATGGCCAAGGTGTTGTCTACCCTCTGTTTATGTCAACTCTTGTCATACAAAGAAAAGCCATATAAACAATAAGAGGCACAATAAACTACTTTTGTGAGATTACTGGACTTTTTATTGCATCTTCTAACCCATGCCATCTTGTGTTTCACAGGAATGTCCCTCGTACAAGGATTGAGAAAGCACTGTTACTGAATCTGTTTGGGTGGATATAACCATCTGTTACCAGCAGACCGCAGTAGAGGGAGCTCTTGCACCATGACTGCAGGGTGTGCTGCATGCGCCAGTGTTCGCTGCATGGAGGATAAGGGCAGGGTCTGTTGGGTCATGGAGAGCTGTGGGTGCAGAGGCAAATAAATCACAGGCTCCTGCTGAACAAGGACATCAGATAAAGGTCTCCTCCTAAGATTTGTTCACTTTGCAGTTAGAAGAGTGCAGCTGGTAGCATAAAAAATTATCACAGAATTACTCTTTCTTGTAGTTTTGTCTCACAGTGATCTTAAAAGTTTAAAAAGTAAATACATCACTTGTGATTTATTTGGTGTATTTTAGAAAGGATGACCTGACAAGGATGCCACAACACATTTTAAAAACATAGAAAATGCTAATTATACATGAATAAAGTATGCATGTTTTAGATGTATTACATGAAACAGCTATTGTAAATGTAATACCACTGGTTAAGCAAATTTAGACATTTGAGAATATCCCCTTTGCCTCTAACAAAGCTGGTATAAGAATATTTTTCCACTACTTTTTTTTATATGTCATAGGCTAAAAGATTAGCCAGAAAACACAGCTATTGAAATGAAATCATCAGTTGCAGCTCCAGATGTGAGTTATGTCCATAGCAGTCTGCAAGGGAAAATGAAAGTGATGCTTCCAGTGAGTAAGCGGCCCACCATGGTCTCAGATTAGAGTGGATTTATGTGATATTTGATCTTGTAGAAGAAAGTCCCTTGGATCCAAAACTTGTTAATGGCCTGTGAAATATGGGCGGATGTTGGGGCTTTAAACTGTACTCAAAGTCAACATATTTGTTAGAAGAAAAAAACTCAATATGGTTGCGCAACTTCATTTGAAACGAGCAAATGAATAAAATAAGGTAAAGCCTGGGATGTCCTTTTCTTAGATGGGGTTCGTGAAATAATCAAGAGTTATGTATTTGTCTCAGGTCACCGAGGTTATAATGCCTATCTTGACTGCATCACTGTCACTGATCTGATCACCTTCTCTTGATTGAACAGGAACAGGAATCCTCTCAATAAAGGGCCACTGATAGTAAACATCTCTTTTTTCAGTGTACCAGTGTGGGATACTAATGCCTCTCCTTGATTTTTATTAATAGAGAGCCAAAGAGAGAGAGAGAGTCAGAGGAGGGTGATAAACAGAGATGAGATTCTATCAATTATATGATTGCTTTAATTAACTATCATTAAAGACAGATCAATAACGCCAGACTGGAATTAAAATAAGGCCCATACATTATACACTATTTTACAAGGAACAATCAAATTGCCTCATATACTGAACCCTGGAAGGTGTTGCCATGGAAACCCATGGGAGGGTATGGGTGTGCTTGGGGGAATTTAAAGGAGCCGGCCTGGATTTCTATATACTCATCCTCACACATTAGTGATGCTTGATTAAGTAATTACTTGAGATCCGAAGGCATATTCCCTGGAAATGAAAAAATGAAAAAAAAAGGATGGAAATGTGACACCTAAAGGTACAACTGTACAATGAATTTTTAAAGGGTAAAAAGTCTCCCTAGTAATATTCTTACAGCCACAGGACATCAATTATTCACAAAAATAGTAAAGAATCCATAAAAGTAGGTCATGAGTGCGGCATACCAAAGAAATTCATTTGAATATTTAAACCGTGCCTGCACGTCAGTTTGCTCTGAACACGAGCAAACTGCAGCGGCGCCTCAGTCAACACACAGGAGAGATAATGGACCAGCAGAGGCTGCAGCTCCACCGAGAATGATCGCGAGGATAAAGCTCAGTGAACCCAAGTGCTCCTGGCAGCAGTTAGGGAGGAAAGGCCCAGGCTCGGGGTGTGATAAAGGCAGAGTGGAGGTGCATGTGACTCGGGGTTTGATGTGATAAAAAAAAAAAACTGGAGGGTCTCTCTATGTGCACCTGAAGCTATATACAAGCCAGAGTGGTGTATATGTCATATGCTGGATGCACAAAGTTGGGAGCAGGGTCATAATGTGACATCCCACATCATTTACAGTGTGTACCCTGCTTGGGTCAGAACAGACGAAAAGGACGTGTTCGTCATTTGTTACATACGGCGTGAATCCATAGAGGGTTGGGAACCAGTCAAGGGGAGAGAGGAGAGGTGAGGGGAAGGTGAGAAACGTTTTCAAGTGCAAAGACCATAAATTTAACACCTTCCCCCTGTGCGAGCAGAGGCAGACGGGACCGTCTTACAGAAAGGGTAATGGAGAAAGTGATGAAGAAACGGGTAAAGGTATCTGTGACAAGAGTGAGAATGGAGGGTGTGCCAGGAGGGAGGCTGAGGAAATAAACAAGGCCAGGTAGAGATGGGGTGGGGGTGCATTTGGGGAAGGGGAGCGAGCGCTGGGAAGGCAGGCGTCGGGGTCATAAAAACTAGGAGATGTGTTCTGGCCTCTGGGTCTTCATATCTTTTACATTTCTAATTAAAAGAGATAAAGAGTGAGGGAGTCATCAATCCCACAGTGATTTCCCAGTTAAGGTTTTAGAGGGGGCTGTAAACTAGGCAGCCCGGCATCATTGATTTTATAATTAGCTATCGTCACCCCAGACTTAAGATGGAGGGAGTGTGGTAGAGGGGCAGCCGGAGAGCTTAAAAGAGAGTGAAGGAGGCTGCCGGAGGAGTGGGGAGGCAGAGGGATGAAGATGATGAGGAGGTCAGCCCTCAGGGGGGGAATGAGGGAGTCAAAGGTGAGCGGTGAGAAAAATCCAGAATGAGCACAACGTATATGGAACAGGCAATGAGCCAAAAGGGGGAAATAGGGCTATATAGCCGCGTGAAAAGAAATGGCATAGTTAATTACCAGTGAAATGTCATGTGAGGATCAAAATATTGCTATAATCTTTGGCCAGAAAAAGACACATTAGATCCAATAATGGATACATAAACCATTTTATTATGCAGAACCCCACCCAAACCCCTGTTACATGACAGGTAAGAAAATACACAGAGGCGTACACGTGGGATAACCTTCACACACAAAACTTCAAAAAACAAACTGTAAGCGCTGGAGCTTTATTGCAGTGAGAGACGGCGTCGTGACGAGGAGCACTCGTACGGTGAGCTCTCGGTGGTACGACAAAAAAAAAAAAAAAACTTCCTTAAGACATAAAGTCAGATTACAACTACAAACAAGGACTATGGAGAATACATTTAGTGTGCTATCTTGTGGGGAAAGAACACCAGGCTCCTCACAACCTTCTATATATGGAGAGTATATGTAGTGTAACACCAGCATACCTAGCGACACAAGGTAAACGAGAGGTCGGATAGACATTTACTCCTTTCACGGCTACTTGAATAATCCTGTTCCCGCAGAAGCTGTTTAAACATTAACATCCATTTCTCTTGCATATTTCTTACATCTACCTTTAACACAATATGCTGGTATCGTTCCCTTTCATTAGCACCGATATCTTGCCACGACGTAACTCAAACGTCAAATCTTAGTCCACGTGAGTATTTGAAAAGCAGAACGTACAAACATGACGAGTAGATAAAATGTGAGTAAACACGACACACGATGGTAATGATTAGGATAATGATGAGAGAACACAACTGACGTTATAAGTATCCATATATCAACTTTTCATCTAAAAACTCTTCTATAGTAAAAATAGGGTGCAAATACAGCAGATAAAATCAAGCATCAAGGTATCTAGCGAATTCTCTTAGCCAAGCATGGAAAAATTTTGTTACACGTTGTACAAAGAGTTGTGTGAAAACAGAATTCAAATTAAACCTGAAAATACTTTAATTGCAGCATAACTCATGTTATTTATAAATAGAAAAATCATGAAAAATGCATATAGTATTGATTAAAAGGTAGGCAGCGATTTTTATTTTGGCAGTATATTGCCATAGGGCTAAGGGGGAAGTACCGACATCACGATGCTGATGTCAGGATCTATAAAGATAATTTTCTTTGACTCTTACTTCATTATTTGAGGCACAAATTTAGAACTGCATGACTGTGAGTTAAGTTTTCTGTACAATATAAACTGTAATAAAGACAGATTCTAGATCTCCGGACGAACAGCTAGTAAATTTCTGTAATTATTAAATGTAAAATCCAGGTTCGTTAACAAATAAAAACCGCAGCTGATCTATAGTGAAAAGCTTACGAGCATTAACCTCTATAATAAAGATGATATGAAGTTACTGAAATAGAAAGTCGCGTGTGGCGTCTAGCTCAATAGACGTTAAGCACAATCTGTTCAATAAGCTTTCTATTTCGAAAGCTTGTCCATCTTAGTGAGCATCTGCATATCTAAATCACCTTAACTGCATCTGCATGACAACAATCAACTGCTAATGCATACAAGAAAGTGCATATCAAATCTTAGTTCTGAGTAAATGGAGGAGAAATATGATGCCATAGACCTACATTACTGCAATATAATTTAGCATGATGCTGTATCATTACTTTATGCTGCCATGAAAAGTGTTCAAAGCTGCTGTGGAGAATTTAATGCTGGAAGTCAGTTTTGCCATGATTTCCAGTGGAGCCAGGCCTGCACAAAACATCATAATTACAGTGCCTGTCATGACTCCTAATCACAAATGCCATAAAAACGACATAACATCCATCGTAAAGCTCTCGACATAGCAATGATTCAACAGAAATCATTCTGCTACAGCCTGCAAACTCTCAAACGCCAGAGCCCGCGCCTAAAAGCCCGCCGCTTCCAACCGTGCACCAGTCGTATGTCAGTCATAAATGTGGTGTTGACCTGCAACCGCTGGCAAAACAGTCGGGGCACGAACACAACAGTCTAGAAGGGAAAAGCTAAGGTTCACCTCAGATACGATGTAATTGCATATTAACATTTTTGTCTGTGTATTGAGTGAGC